AAAAAAGTGTAGGGTAGGTGAGAAAAAAATCTGATGCAATAATTGTGAAAAATTGAGTGTAAATATGGACTAATGATAGCTGAATTGATGTTTGGAATTGGGGATAGATGGCAATTAAGCAAGTTCACTGAATATTAGATGATTTTGAATGATTTTAAAGGAATGAATTGGTCGAACTCACGAAACCGCTGCTACCAAACCCTTTGTTCGTCCTTAGCGACTGATGATGTGGCCAGCACTGCTTGTTGCTGTGATGTAGCTCTGCTTCCAGATGCTGGTAGGTTGAATTCGTTGATGCGACGCCTTCTATTTGACCTCCAGCTGATTTTGCGGCCGCTTTTGTGGTGGCGTGGCTTGCGATCGCGAGACGTTTTTGCTTTTAACTCGACTAATTACTTCGAAGGACCATAGATAGGCCCAGATGGAATAAAAGAGTGGACTGTATTTCTTGGTTTAATAGGTTTTCTTGAGTAGGCTATTAGTACAAGTTAAATTCGCAATCCCGTCCGTTCTTGCTCGCGTTGTCGTCAGGTGTGTATGGAGGGCGCGCGAGCCGTCGCTGCCCCGCCACGCCGCCCGCTCCCCTCTGCTTGAGATGCATGCATGTGTGTCTGCATGTGCGTGCGTGTTAACGTGTGCGTTAACATAATTAAAAGCGTTAATAATAGACAACCAATTTATAGAATATTCAAATATTTATGATGTTATAATATAAGATCTAGTTTTGCAGCTACCTTTACAAAACTTGACCAATGAATTATCATCCTTTGTAGAAGGCAGAGGGTTGGCGTCCCAGGGATTTGGAGAAACAACACAAACACCACTGTTACTTCACTTTTTATTCACTTACTTTTCCCCGATAGAGGCGCTGGTTGTAATCAACACGTCACATTTGACGATGAACCTAACCAAATTGATGTAACGAAACCATAGCGCGATCAATTTTGACATTAACACCATCTATCGAGCGACGCGAAAACTCTGACTAATAATACATAATACATACATAACATCACACCTTTTATCCCTGAAGGGGTAGGCAGAAGTGTACATTATGCCGCTGTACAATGTTACACCCACTTTTCACTATTTATGATAAGAGTCCCATGTAATAGGGGGTGAGCCTATTGCCATATACCAGGCTCAATAACAGACTCCGTGCTACTACTGAGATTTTTTTTTAAATCCCAGTAATACTTTGCCCGACCCGGGAATCGAACCCGAGACCCCTTGCCCAGCAGTCACACTTGTGACCACTCGATCAACGAGGCAGTCACCTAATTAAAATTAAATATTCCACCTTCATAATATCACTTAAAAACAATAATTAATTCTTTATCAAACCGAAACCGCAATTCAAACAATACCGTGCCAAAAGTGCTCGCTAAACGAAAAAGTAATAAAAGTTCTGACAAACCGTAAAATGATTAATAAAACATTTAGAGCGACAAAGTTCCTTATTACGTGGGTAATTAATATTTTAACGTACATTAAAAAGTTAGTACAATCTTTGCAATTTAACATGAAAAGCGCATAAAAAAAGCGGCCTAAAAATATTCAAGTGCGACCTCCACGGTCTGGCCGCAGATATATAGAAAGAACAATGGATGTGGCAGAATATAACTCTATTCTTGCTGAGTATAAAATGTTCACTTGGACTTTGGGCTGTTTGTCAGGACATCTGGATATTTTATGAGCGTCAATACATGGTTCCATGGTGTCCTGGTACCAATGTAACAACGTGTTTAATTTGGACATCACGTGCGCGATAGTCATTTTTTACTCGCTATTTGCGTTCCTATATTCTCTGAATTGGAACACATTGATATTAGTTTTTCTACCTCATAAACAGCATCTTCATTTTTTGCTACGTAATCGCACATAACGGTCGTAATTAAGACTATTCTACGTTTCAATTAAACATGCACCATCTATTGTTTAAACATCTGTTCCCATGCTCATACTTTTACCGAGCCCTTAATTACAATAAAATTTGCATACTTGTGAAGTTTCTTAAATTCATAAATATATTCATGGTGATAGATGTCTTTTTATTAAATTATTATTATGAGTCTGCCACGACGGTATACTCTAACAGTACTTGCCAACACGTGCTTTCTAAAATAGTGAGCAATTTTTTTTTATTGAATAGGAGGCAAACAAGCAAACGGATTACCTGATGGTAAGCGATCAGCGCTTATCATCAGGTGTTGCGGGTAGACACCCGCAACACCTGATGATAATCGTCTCGGGGGCATTCGTAAAATCCAACGAACAGTCAACTTAAAGGCATCAGAGGTGACGGCTGTGTCACTCGATCGCGGACGACCTACGTTGCAAGATCGTACTTACCTACCTAGCTAAATCTACCTTAAATCAATTATATAAATTGTAATCGGAATCCCGCTGGGGTAAGTTTCCATGTATTGCTTAAGTGTTGCTATTGTAAGGTGTTTCTTCTTCTTAATTTCTCGCTAGCAGCGGCTATTCCTTTTTTCTTTGTCTGCTGGGACACTGTGACCTTTGGACCCGGCTACGTGGTCCGAGCTCTGCTAACGCTTGCCTTGTATCTGCGCTTCCAGGATTCATGTTCTACAATTAACCTCGCATCGCAGCCATCTACCTGGCGGATTTA